ATAATTTACGAAGAGCCTCCACAAAAGATATTGTACAAGAATTTTGAAAGAACCGTAGATCATCAAGTGTTAACTGTTGAAAAAGAGAAGATATTTCGTCCTAATTTATTGAAAAGACGTTTCAGCAAGTACGATTCATATCCTTACGGGTTTAAAAAAGTTAAAAAAGGGCAGGGTGAAGAGGAAAAAACCTCAAAAATCGACATCGTCGAGTAACAACGAATCAGTCATCTCCAGGAATAATGAATGAAAACATCGTCGAATGATGATCAGATCTTGGATAATAGTTTGTACTTAGCATATACTACATTCCTAGTAAATCGATAGGTGTTAAGACTTATTATGTTACCTAAATACCGTTAATTGTATTATGTGTTATAAGAGATATAAAATAAAAGAGAATCAACACGTGAGCGTATATTTTCTTTACATCATGAACAGTTGGGAACCTCGGCGAATTGTTGGTAAGTAACAAGAGAGTTAGCATATTTCTTTTTTTTTTGCATAAAGCGGAGTTGATGTAACCTCCTACCATCACGAGAAGCTTAAAATCATCTTTAGGAAGTTACACACATGACCGCTATACGCGTGACAATAACTTAGTAGAAACAAGTCATTAAACAGTGTACAAACGCGAATGGCTAAAGCTATTTTTATACGTTTAATTCAAATGGATTCACATATGCGCAAACCCATTTTTAAGGTGTGCCCAAACGTAGCTTTTGAAATGATCTTAGGATTTACTTTTATTGTCCATATCTGTTATTAATTTTTCAAACGCGTTTATAATAAGAAATTTGAATTGCCTCTGTGCAGATACGGATGCCTTGCCATTTAAATTCTTTCTTTTTCGTCTAACCTTTACGTTAGTAACAATTAAACAAGCAAATATCAAGTGGAGTAGTTCGGGAGCCTTTGTGACTCAGACAGACATCAAGAGCACAAAAGTGCGCTTTTTATCTTTTGAAAGTGAAAAGCGCACTAAAAATCACTCTTCGTAGTGAACAAGAACTTATGTAAGCAGAATCGATACATTGAAGATCTTGATACTCGCTAGCGCAGGGTGCCCTCTACTCGGTAACATGCCACGCACCAGCATGCTGTACGATTCGTTAGCTCCTCTATATATTATAAGGAATGCAAGTTATTGATACTTTCCTCTAAAGGGGATTGTTCAGGTTCTACGCGTTCGGACATTACCACCTATTAGGCGGTAATGGTTCGGAGCTTATCGCACATTGTAACTCTACGAAGTAATACCTACACCATGTCGACACTTGGTTTGTATGCCTATATCTATTTTAACAGGTACCCGTATTCCATTGAGGATTAAAATTTCCGGTTCCGGGGGCCGTATTCTACGTTTAACACTACTACAATACATTGTCTTTTTTTTTTTTCAAGTTCAAATATAAACCTATAAACAAATGCAATTCTCTGTAATAAGTATCTCTGCTCGTCCCTGTCTCCCTTTACTGCTCTTGATGCACAGTACCCATTCAGCACAGCTTGTTAATAGAGCTCAAAAGTAGTTTCAAAAGTACTATCAGACAAAGTTTTTATAATTTTGAAGGGGACACAGGATCTCTTAAGACCGGCGAGAATACTCGCATTCGCACACTTTTTTCACGAATTAAAAGGAATCGTTAAAAACAATGCCCTCGTATCATCTCTATGCGGTGAGTTCGAATCTGACAACTTGGCAGTTTTTAGTGGTACAGAACTTACCAATGCTTCGGAGGACATGTAAAGGTGGCGGGACCCAGCAGTGTATCACGACTATCGTTAGGTCATACAGTCGAGGGAAGATCAGGAATTGTTTCATAATTTATTGAAATACTAGTCCTTAGAGTATATTTACTGTGGCTGTTGATTTTAAAGATCGTTTCCGAAGTCTCCCAGCGAATATAATCTACCCAATGCACATCAAATAACCCACTTAACGTACAGAAGGTCATTTATCTTGGACTTAAAGCCTTCTCATTCGATTGGTATGATGATAACTAACTGTAATCTACGAGTATATTGAAGGTCTCCAACGTGAAGGGGGTCGTTCGTTTACTTGACGAATGGTTCAATCACCCCTGTAATAACGTACCGCTTGTTTACCAAAAAAAAAAAAAGTTAAATCAGTCCATAACAATTCGGGTCCCATTCTCCATGCAAAACATTCACTGCCAAACCGGTCAAAATCTCCTCGCATTGACTCATTTTTACGGTTGATTGATTAACCTCTACAACGGTTGTTTGATATTCATGATTTTAAGGTGATACTAAAACTGCCGAATTTTACGACGAAGCCAGTTAAATCAGATTTGCCTAATAGGTCTACATTCGCTCGCTAGATCTACATACCCAAATAGTAAATACATTGGACATGTACCGCAACGGGAGATCCGTCTGATTTAAATAAGTGAGATGTTTCTGATTAAACTCAACTGTGCGAGGAAATAAGGTCAGTTGTCTTGGAACACTCCGAACGCGATGCCACTAACCTGAACACAAATCGTACACGAATGGACCCACAGCCCAAGCCTAATTGCGAACTCTACAAATGCGATTCGTACTCAAACTCGAACCGAATAACTTCCATACGATTTGAGATCCATCGCGTTCATGGATGCACGGATGAACGATGACGATGACCTGTGTTCTTGATTGATTATAGATTTCGAGGGACACAGAAGATCAAGCGTATACACTGGTAAACAGATAAACAGGTAAACATAAACAGATAAACAGGTAAACAGACAAACAGGTAAACAGATAAACAGGTAAACATAAACACATAAACAGAATCAGCTTTATTTTAAAAAAAAGCAGATCTTGTTTACCTGTTTATCTGTTTACCTGTTTTATCTGTTTATGTTTACCTGTTTATCTGTTTATGTTTACCTGTTCAGTTGTTTACTAGTTTACCTGTTTATCTGTTTACCTGTTTGTCTGTTTACCTGTTTATCTGTTTATGTTTACCTGTTTATCTGTTTACCAGTGTATACGCTTGATCTTCTGTGTCCCTCGAAATCTATAATCAATCAAGAACACAAGTCATCGTCATCGTTCATCCGTGCATCCATGAACGCGATGGATCTCAAATCGTATCGAAGTTATTCGGTTCGAGTTTGAGTACGAATCGCATTTGTGGAGTTCGCAATTAGGCTTGGGCTGTGGGTCCATTCGTGTACGATTTGTGTTCAGGTTAGTGGGATCGCGTTCGGAGTGTTCCAAGACAACTGACCTTATTTCCTCGCACAGTTGAGTTTAATCGGAAACATCTCACTTATTTAAATCAGACGGATCTCCCGTTGCGGTACATGCCCAATGTATTTACTATTTGGGTATGTAGATCTAGCGAGCGAATGTAGACCTATTAGGCAAATCTGATTTAACTGGCTTCGTCGTAAAATTCGGCAGTTTTAGTATCACCTTAAAATCATGAATATCAAACAACCGTTGTAGAGGTTAATCAATCAACCGTAAAAATGAGTCAATGCGAGGAGATTTTGACCGGTTTGGCAGTGAATGTTTTGCATGGAGAATGGGACCCGAATTGTTATGGACTGATTTAACTTTTTTTTTTTTTGGTAAACAAGCGGTACGTTATTACAGGGGTGATTGAACCATTCGTCAAGTAAACGAACGACCCCCTTCACGTTGGAGACCTTCAATATACTCGTAGATTACAGTTAGTTATCATCATACCAATCGAATGAGAAGGCTTTAAGTCCAAGATAAATGACCTTCTGTACGTTAAGTGGGTTATTTGATGTGCATTGGGTAGATTATATTCGCTGGGAGACTTCGGAAACGATCTTTAAAATCAACAGCCACAGTAAATATACTCTAAGGACTAGTATTTCAATAAATTATGAAACAATTCCTGATCTTCCCTCGACTGTATGACCTAACGATAGTCGTGATACACTGCTGGGTCCCGCCACCTTTACATGTCCTCCGAAGCATTGGTAAGTTCTGTACCACTAAAAACTGCCAAGTTGTCAGATTCGAACTCACCGCATAGAGATGATACGAGGGCATTGTTTTTAACGATTCCTTTTAATTCGTGAAAAAAGTGTGCGAATGCGAGTATTCTCGCCGGTCTTAAGAGATCCTGTGTCCCCTTCAAAATTATAAAAACTTTGTCTGATAGTACTTTTGAAACTACTTTTGAGCTCTATTAACAAGCTGTGCTGAATGGGTACTGTGCATCAAGAGCAGTAAAGGGAGACAGGGACGAGCAGAGATACTTATTACAGAGAATTGCATTTGTTTATAGGTTTATATTTGAACTTGAAAAAAAAAAGACAATGTATTGTAGTAGTGTTAAACGTAGAATACGGCCCCCGGAACCGGAAATTTTAATCCTCAATGGAATACGGGTACCTGTTAAAATAGATATAGGCATACAAACCAAGTGTCGACATGGTGTAGGTATTACTTCGTAGAGTTACAATGTGCGATAAGCTCCGAACCATTACCGCCTAATAGGTGGTAATGTCCGAACGCGTAGAACCTGAACAATCCCCTTTAGAGGAAAGTATCAATAACTTGCATTCCTTATAATATATAGAGGAGCTAACGAATCGTACAGCATGCTGGTGCGTGGCATGTTACCGAGTAGAGGGCACCCTGCGCTAGCGAGTATCAAGATCTTCAATGTATCGATTCTGCTTACATAAGTTCTTGTTCACTACGAAGAGTGATTTTTAGTGCGCTTTTCACTTTCAAAAGATAAAAAGCGCACTTTTGTGCTCTTGATGTCTGTCTGAGTCACAAAGGCTCCCGAACTACTCCACTTGATATTTGCTTGTTTAATTGTTACTAACGTAAAGGTTAGACGAAAAAGAAAGAATTTAAATGGCAAGGCATCCGTATCTGCACAGAGGCAATTCAAATTTCTTATTATAAACGCGTTTGAAAAATTAATAACAGATATGGACAATAAAAGTAAATCCTAAGATCATTTCAAAAGCTACGTTTGGGCACACCTTAAAAATGGGTTTGCGCATATGCGAATCCATTTGAATTAAACGTATAAAAATAGCTTTAGCCATTCGCGTTTGTACACTGTTTAATGACTTGTTTCTACTAAGTTATTGTCACGCGTATAGCGGTCATGTGTGTAACTTCCTAAAGATGATTTTAAGCTTCTCGTGATGGTAGGAGGTTACATCAACTCCGCTTTATGCAAAAAAAAAAGAAATATGCTAACTCTCTTGTTACTTACCAACAATTCGCCGAGGTTCCCAACTGTTCATGATGTAAAGAAAATATACGCTCACGTGTTGATTCTCTTTTATTTTATATCTCTTATAACACATAATACAATTAACGGTATTTAGGTAACATAATAAGTCTTAACACCTATCGATTTACTAGGAATGTAGTATATGCTAAGTACAAACTATTATCCAAGATCTGATCATCATTCGACGATGTTTTCATTCATTATTCCTGGAGATGACTGATTCGTTGTTACTCGACGATGTCGATTTTTGAGGTTTTTTCCTCTTCACCCTCCCCTTTTTTAACTTTTTTAAACCCGTAAGGATATGAATCGTACTTGCTGAAACGTCTTTTCAATAAATTAGGACGAAATATCTTCTCTTTTTCAACAGTTAACACTTGATGATCTACGGTTCTTTCAAAATTCTTGTACAATATCTTTTGTGGAGGCTCTTCGTAAATTATCATATTCTTCATTGTTTCGAAATTTACCGATTTTGATACTTCATGATTAATAGATATCCCTTTGACCTTACACGATTGAAAGTGTTTATCTTGCGTAGGAGAATAAACCGCAAAACCATAATTTTTTGGTCCGCCTGATGCAAATTCGGTGATATAACTTTCAGGACCGTAAACCTCCAGTTCGTTGGTCATATCGCCAAGATAGTTACCCGTTTCGGGTTCATATTCACCTTCTCGTGAGATGTAGATGATGCTATCCGTATCAAAATACAGTACCCGTTCCCCCAGCTTTTCCATGTATGAGTACAATTTTAAACGGGCTTGCGTAGTGACATATGCTGCAATTGAAACATTAACAGTACTTAAAGCGCTATATGACTCTTCTTTGTATTGATAATTTACTACTAAAGTTTCCTCGTTAATTGCCAAAATTCCAATAACTTCAACTGCCGGATCAAGCAATAGCGAATACAGATCAGCTGACTGTTTAATAATTTTTGTTTTTGGTTGATTTTCGCGTTGTCCAAATTTACCAAAAAATGAGTTTAAAATAAGTTTTGCCAGTGATCGTAAACCTGGGTTACTAACAATATTGTCAAAATCCAAACGTATCCCTTCTTTTTCCAAAAATTTATCGATATATGCGATTTTTTGTTCGTACGTTTTACAATTTGCGGGCCACCCACTTGCTTCTTGTTTAATTTTAATAAATGTGTTCATCATTTCTGTGAATAATCCCCCTGATTTCCCATTATATTGTTCGGTTCTATAATCCCAAACTTCGTAAATTTTTAAAATTTCATACCCCTTTTCTAAAGCTTTCACAAGTTCATCCGAAACCCAAGTGCCCACAATGGCCCTATCCTCTACATCGTGACAGCATTCCTCTTGATTGAAACTTTTGGCACACGTCAGACACAAAGGGAACATTAATTTTTTATTTAATTTTATCGGAAGTACGGGGTGAAATAGATTTTGTGGAGGTAGTACCTTACATTTAATGATAGCGTCTATTTTGGAAATATCGAGATTTAAGCAGTCGTCCCCTATGATCACTTTAGGATGTCCGATCGGGAATTTCCCATATTTACAAACCCAGGGGTACAACGAGCAGATATCAATATACTTTATTTTCTCCCCTTCTTTCACGTTGTAGTAGGACTTGATGTTTCCAGTTCGTCCACCATAAAAGCTATCTCTCACATTTAACGGGGTGAAATTGATGAGCGGGTGTTCAAATACATACTTAGCAATGTCCTGGGTTTTATCTTGCTTAAATTCACATTCCCACTTCATTATGACCTCGTACCCTAATTCATTTAAACGAGTTATCTTGGAGCGAGTATTTTCATATCTTAAATTCATTGTTTCTCCGCTGTTATTGTATACAGGTTTGTCGCGATCGTTTTTAAAACATTTCACGCAGCCATGGTAGAAACACCCCATCATTTCAAATACCTGATTTGTTTCAGCACAAAACCCATCGACCGGTAAACCATCTAATACGATTTCTTTCCCTTTGGCGGCGTGCAAGATGTTAATTTCTCTGACTTTTTCCTCCCATATTAACCACTCAATTGCTATTTTTGATTGATTATCCCGATAACGATAGCCATTTCTCGGAATTAGACCAATGGTATCAGCTTTCAAAAAATTTCGGCGAAACAATTTATTACATGAACTGGCAATCGTGCAGGCTTCCGAAAATGGACAGATATTACCGGCTTGAATTAATAAATCTCTGAATTTTAAACAAGCCGTTGTTAGAATATTCACGTCTGATACGCAGTACGATACAATTTCTTTTTGCATATCAAAGACTTTGTCTTTGTTTTCATTATACCAAAGAATGAATTTTTCTCTATCTTCCGGCATCATTGTGTCCGGCCCATAGTACTGAATATCGGGATAAGGTCCTGTATAATACTGATTTTCAAGGGTATTAAAGTGATAAGGGAAATAACCCTTTCGAAAATTATCATTCAAACCAAATGCTTTAGGTAATTTCGATAGAGCCATTGGAAAATAGTTCAAGGAATCCAAAAATGTTACATTATCGATATACATAGAAATAATTTTAGACCCACGCATAATCAATTCGGGTTTCAATTCAGTTTTTGTTAAAATATAATTTAAAATAAATTGATGATCATATGCTTGCCCATTATGAGCCAAAACAATTACATGTTTGAATCTTTTCCTAATCTCTAAAATATAATAAACGAGCCTCTCAATAACATCGGAAAATTTTAAGATCTGCTGTCTTACGGCACAGTTGGTACAAATAATTTTTTCAAGCGGTTCATTTAAGCAAATCTCACACCTTTGATTAAAAACACATAAATTTGGTTCGTGTAAAGTTTGAAAGTCGCTAAATCTTTTATTTTGAGTGCATTCAAGGTCGTAGAAAATAAATAAAAAATCTCTTAAATTTGGGGTGATACTGTCAACAGGCATATAACAAAGATGATCATCTGGTCGGTTTTTCTTGCAGGTTTTACAGTAATACGAGTTACAAGTGTGTTCCATTCCTTCTCGGATTGTTTTATAACAAGTTTTACACTTAAACAATTTTTCACATACCGTTTTAAGTTCTTTAGGGGCTAGTTCTTTGTGTTTATTGAAACAAGTTTTAGAAACAAAATATCTACTGCAGTTGGGGCATTTTATGTGTTGTTCGCGATCACAGGGTGGAGCATGTTTGCAAGAGGAACAAACACCAATGCAACTGTGACCGAATTTATTGTTATATCCCACGTGACACTTATCACAAAAATAGCGACACACAAAAGCAGATGTGAGTGAGGCTATTACATTGTAATGATTATTACAATACAGTAAATTAATTTTTAGGGATGCGTCAGAATCACCTTCAAAAAGTATATCGCGCCACTTCGTCCCGTAATTGTAAACTACAATTTTAAAATTACTCAGATGCGATTGAAATTTTTGTAATTCAAGTAAACCTGCCCCATTTGCTCCTATTTCAACTTCAGCTTCTTGCATTAACAGTTTTGCTTTTTGGTATTGAATTTGCGCTCTGTCCTTGCGTATATTATGGTAGTCAGGATCACCGGTTGCTTTAGCTATAGCAACAACAAGAGCTCTCGGTAAACATAAATTATCTACATTTTTAATACAAACAATCCCTTGTCTCGCAGCGCATTCCTCCTCGAAACTGCTATATTTATTATTAGCCATTCTTCCTCTACCTAATGGAGGACGAACAATGGTCACTTCCAAACAAAACGTATCTGTACTCAACCCCACGGAATTTGATTGGTAGATAGAGGAAATTAGTTCCCATATATCATCAAAATGCACTGAATCGGCACGTTGAAACTTCAAATATCCCTCTCCGCGCGAAAATTTTTTGGAACAAAAGGTAAACCCTATCATATCTTCAGCAGAAATCTTATCGCAGGCGTACCTAACTATCTCCCGAATCGCGCCCTTAATCCATAATAGACTGTTTTCGTTAGGAGGTATTTGTTTTAATCTAAATTGAATAGATCGCCCTCTTAAACCAAATCGTTTAACGTTCTTTACAAACTCCCTTTCAATTATAAACTTAGCCATAGTTGTATTTTCTGTATAGGTACCTATAGTAAAGGTATGTGCCTAATAAAGTGAGTTTGCTAAAAGGATGCAAAACGGATAAACCCGGTTAGGTATTACTCTTAGACAAAGGAAATAAGAAAATGGACCGATTGATTTCTTTTCTTCTCCCCACCTGATCTGTTATAACAAAATTATTCGTGCTTCAATCGCCCTTTTCCTATGGCCAAGACGCTAAGAAATAATAATGAAATGGAACACCTTAATATTCTTTTGGAACAAAATTTAACAACAATGCGGATTATTACGTCCTTCACACTCGGCGTTCAACGCGTTACTGACAGAAGTCGTTGAAAATTTTCTTTTTATGATGAGAGAAAACGGATGACCACCTGTGTTTTATTAACAGCGCTGAAATAGCATTGTTTCCGTAGATATAATTGAGAGGTAATACGACGTTATAGAAGAGTTCTTAATTTTTGAAAAATTCAACTTATATTATTTGCACCGGCCACATTTGAAGGTATAGTTGCTACTTTCCAAACAAACCAATCGCAATTTTAATTATACCCACAATGAGAACACTCTGGATGCATACTGATGAAATGGAATGTTGGGAATGCACTTTTATGTAATACTAGTGATCACGTGGTATAATAAAAGATGATGCAATACTTATCTCAATTGTGTCGATTTTCGTAATAAGGGTACTTGTACTAGGGTTTTAAAGATTTGAACAATTAGTAGCAATAAGAATCATCAAATGTGCCTAATATAAATCAGTAGGTAACTTCGATGCGATGCTTAGGTAAGTGTAAAATAAATGCAAATGCACTTGCATTACATACATCTGTCACTTACGGCGCACAAGATGCAACTAAAAGGAATTATTGCAAAAGTCTATTTTTACAGTTAATGGGAGAAAGAAGGTAGCGAGTTTGCGACGTACACCTGATTTTTCTAAACATCGTATCGCAAATGATTGTGAGATTCAAGTGCTTTTTTTTTTTCTTCCAGCCAAATTAATGGAGAATTCGGGTAAAGTAACGGCCGTATTCAACACATCAAAAACTAACGTAAGCTTCTTCCTACGCTGGATCCGACCTTCGAAAGCTGGATCCAGAAAAATAGGCCACCCAAATTTCGGTGTGCCTAAAAGCCATCAAAATTCCCTACAGCCAAATTGCGCGAGGTTAGATGTCCAAAATAGCGATACCAAATCTCACCAACTAAAAGCTAAAAATAGCTATTATACGTCTCGTACACGTGCGCGCAAACCTCACTTTCGCCTGGCGCGACATGTGACTGTCTGGCTCAGGTGGCCCTTTAACTACTATCAAAGTACATACATAAATAATTAATCGAATCTGTTTGACAGGTCCGAAGGTTTGAACCGTTTTAGTCTCCTAATTTCGTCGCGATTGTCTATAAGCTGAGTGGCTAGGACGTTAGGATGCTCTTTTTATATAGTATACCATCCACATTTATTGATTTTGTTTCGGATATATCATTAATAAAATTATTAGTTTGTAAGAGTAATTTAACTTGCTTAGTTAAAGAACAATCTTCAATTTTGTCAAGTGTGTTACTTTTTCCAATAGTAAACTTTGTTTCAAATCCTTTATCTAACAAAAACCTATTGCATACTCTTAATTGGTGTTTAATAGACAACAATAAAGATATATTAACGCGCGTTTTAGATTTAGATTTATTTATAATTCCTTTTGACAATTATCGATATTGTATAGGAAGCGTCAAGTATAGGTATATGACAAACAATTAATGAGACAATAAACTATGACAAACAATAGATACATAAAATAGACAATTCAACATACTACTTTTCGTTGATATAGTATTAGCAAATGATGAAGTTGTTTGTGCTTTGATTCGTAACGCATTGATCACAGGTGTACTGGTGGTCGCCGTTTGAAGTATTATGTGGGAATAGTGAAGCATTAAATGATGCTTAGGTTTAAGAGACATTTGTGGAAATAGTTGCAGAAATAACTTATTATTTTATTATTTGTCGTAAGCTTAACTACAATTGCCAATAATTGTTATTCATTGGTATTAAATCGCCTATCATACCTCCTAAGTATCGATAAAAGCATAGCATTTCTGATGCTGACATTTTAACTTTTTGTAAATTTAATTGTTCAAATTTAATTAAAGGAGGCTTATTCTTAAGACTGAAAACCAAAAGCAAAAAATTGAATTTTTGAATTTAACACATCCAAACTAAAAAATTTATCCACGATTATCAACTGGTATAAAATAAATGATATTTCGTATTTGCACTCCTTCCAATAAATCGTGCATTATATCTATTGAATAATTTCCCGTAACATGGTATGATGGAATTTTATTAAATATGCTGTCTTCTTTAATTCCACTTAGAGAAAAATTAGAATTTACAAGGTCTGTACGATAGCTTTCTCTAGTTCGTAACAAAGACGTGTCCAAATTTGTTTGCCTTAATGACGTTTTTTTATTTGTTTTGCAAAAACGACAAAAGTAGTTAGAACTAAAACTTTGTGAAAATCCAAGAATAGTATTTAGACCGAGATTGTCTCCTTGAATTAATAGTAACTTAAAAAATATATTGATTTCCACACCGTTTATGGGAATTGTTATTCCGTTATTCTCTAAAAAAATTATTTCTTCAACAAGCTTAGAAAATATTACTTTTGATCCAAATTTACTTAAATACATTAGTTAACTCTGATTGGTGTTTGAATGGAACTATTGGAATACTATAGTATACAGACAGCCCCTAATTTATGGATACCTGAATGAGAACCAAGTGCGTTTCCAACTTCAAATTCATCAAAATATACTAACAAAGGAAGAATAATTTTATTATTATTCAATGTTTTTGATTTTCTCCTTGCACCACGTTAGATAAAACGGCGTGAGAAGAACAAAAGCTGTTAAAATTATTTAAACACGAATTATAAACACCACTCAATTAAAAAAAAAATTTTAACATACTACGCATTGAGACAAACTGATATGTTAAGTTTTTTGATTGCATAATTTCTTGTGAATTTAGTTGCATATGTTGACCGACTACGACTTCTTGTAGTTTTATAAATTTTCCAGTTTCTTCTAAAAATTTAAAACGCATATGTTCTGAGTTTAAATTTTCAAACATTTTTTCTAAAGGAGTACACATGTTAATAACAGTGTCCTTTTGAAAGTTAGATTCAAGTTCATGTCGTATTATGGACACAGGAAGCAAGAAGAAATCGCGGAAATCATCTATCATATATTGTGTTTCGTTACGCGGTAAAGAACCTCGACTATATATTTCGGAA